TCTCTCTCTCTCTCTCTCTCTCTCTCTCATGGCCTATATGCTCTTCTCTTCTCTCAAACCCTAGAACTTGGGACTAATCATGGCCGATCCCTCCCCCCGCCGATCCGCCGAGCTCCTCCTCGCGGCGGCGGCGGCGGCCAACGTCCTGCTGCTGCTTCTCCTCGCCAGTGCCGCCCCCTGGGCCACGGCCGACACCGACCCCGGCGACCTCGCCGCAATGCTGGCCGTTGCCAACGCCCTCGGCGCCGACCGGGCCCTCGACTGGTCCCCCTCCGCCGACCCCTGTTCCGACTGGGCCGGCGTCGCCTGTTCCGGAGGCCGTGTCACCACCATCCAGGTCGGTAATCGCAACCTTGCCGGCTCACTCCCCGCCGACGTCCGGAACCTTACCTCCCTTTCACGGTTGGAGCTCCAAAACAACCGCTTATCCGGGCCTCTCCCTTCCCTCGCCGGCCTCTCCTCCCTGCAGAGCCTCCTCCTCCACCACAACCTCTTCTCCTCCATCCCCCCTGACTTCTTCTCTGGTCTCTCCTCCCTCCAGTCCGCCTACCTCGACGAGAACCCCTTCGCGCCCTGGCCCCTCCCCGCCACCCTCAGCGATGCCACCGCCCTCGTCAACTTCTCCGCCAACGCCGCCAACGTCTCCGGCCCTCTCCCGGACTTCCTGGCCACCTCCTTCCCCGGCCTCGACCACCTTGGCCTGGCCTTCAACCTGCTCTCCGGTCCCGTTCCGTCGGCCTTCGCGGTCGCTCCCTTCCGATCGCTCTGGCTGAACAACCAGCGGGGCCGCAGCCGCCTCTCCGGCGGGATCGACTTCGTCGAGAACATGACCGCTCTCGAGGAGCTCTGGCTGCACTCCAACGAATTCTCTGGGCCGCTCCCGGACTTCTCCGGCCACACTAGCTTGCGCGATCTCCAGCTCCGGGATAACCAGCTCACCGGCGTCGTGCCCTACTCCTTGACCGAGCTCAAGTCGCTCTCCAAGGTCACGCTCACCAATAACTTGCTTCAGGGTCCGGTGCCGATCTTCCCGGATTCGGCGACAGTAGACCTTGTCCCTCAAAGCGAGAGTTTTTGTCTGAACACGGCAGGGGAGTGTGACCACCGAGTCACTATCTTGCTATCCATCGCCAAAAGTTTCCGCTACCCAAGTGGGTTCGCCGAAAACTGGAAAGGAAACAACCCGTGCGGGTGGCTGGGGATCAGCTGCGACGCCGGTGGCAACATCACTGTGATTAATTTCTCAAGGATGGACCTCAATGGGACAATCTCGCCGGATTTCAGTTTGTTCACCACATTGCAGAGGATGATGCTTTCAAATAATAACCTCACCGGGACGATCCCGTCCACGCTTACCAATTTGACATCGCTGAAGGAATTGGACGTCTCCAACAACTCTCTACGGGGTCAAGTTCCAAGCTTTAGCCAGAATGTATTACTGAAGACTGATGGGAATGTGAATATGGGGAAGCCTGCCATTGCTCCGCCAGGTTCTGACTCTGATTCTGCTCATAATGGTAGTGATTCAAATCCAGCAGGTTCTGTTGATGGGAGCAGCGGCAGCAGTGGGAAGTCTTCTTCTGGTTCCATAAGTGTTATTGTGGGTTTAGTGGTCGCAGGGGTCTTCAGTGTCAGCCTTGCTGGACTATTGGGTTTCTGCTATTACAAGAGAAAGTTGCAGAATTCTGGTAGGGTTCAGAGTCCGAACACTACAGTGATACACCCACGGCTTTCGGGGTCCGACCAGGATATGGTGAAGATCACGGTCGTGGGTTCAAGCATGAATGGTGGCATGGCCGCTAGCGAATCTTACAGTCGAACAAGTAGTGGCCCAAGTGATGTTCATGTAATTGATGCAGGGAATATGGTGATCTCTATTCAAGTTCTTAGGAATGTGACCAACAATTTTAGCGAAGAGAACATTCTGGGGCGTGGTGGTTTTGGTACAGTCTACAAGGGTGAGCTCCACGATGGCACAAAGATTGCAGTCAAGAGGATGGAGGCAAGCATCATCGGAACAAAGGGCCTGAATGAATTCAAATCTGAGATTGCAGTGCTTACCAAGGTCAGGCATCGGAATTTGGTCTCCCTTTTGGGTTATTGCTTAGATGGGAACGAGAGGCTCTTGGTCTACGAGTACATGCCTCAGGGGACACTGAGTCGCCATCTTCTAGACTGGAAGGAGGAAGGATTGAAGCCTTTGGAATGGAAGAAAAGGCTAAGCATAGCACTGGATGTGGCGAGGGGTGTGGAATATCTACACAATTTGGCACATCAGAGCTTCATCCACAGGGATCTCAAACCTTCTAACATCCTCCTTGGGGATGACATGAAAGCTAAAGTTGCAGATTTTGGTCTTGTCCGACTTGCACCAGATGGAAAAGGTTGTTCTGTTGAAACAAGGCTAGCTGGTACCTTTGGTTATCTTGCTCCAGAGTATGCTGGTAATTCTCAAAACTATCACTTAGCTGCTATACTGCATCATGCAACTAAGATACACATGTGATCAATTATGCAATCTGTTTGATACAACCCTCTAAGCTCTTAAAAGAATTTCTTATAGTCCTACCTACAACCCTCAGGTCCTGATTCAGTAGTTCAATGTCCTGAAATATCTCATCAATGTTTTAGTGCTAACTCCTAATACTAAAGACTTACAGTCTCTGTTTGTTTATTTATATTGATCTAGACACCTGTATACTTGCAGGCATTAGTTGACACTGTATGAATGTCCTGAATAATGTAGCAATTGGTCACTTATCCAAATTATGTAGTTTTACAAAAACATGGTTAAGAAAGAAATGCTTCTTTGGGATAAAGAGATAGTTCTATTAAATTCTGATGGTAGCAAAATTTGAACATGATTATAGATTATTAAGAAATATGGCAATATAATAAGCATCTTGTAGTAAGCTGGAACACATAAGATGACTTTGACGTTATTGTTATCATTTAACTTATTGTTGACTGCATGTCTAACTTGCATAGTGTACTGAAATTCTTGAATTTGTTTGCACTGTTTGATGATGAATTAGTTCTCTCTTTGATTTTGCGATTAAACTTCTGTCTTTGCTACTGTATTTGAATCAGATGCTGTCTTTGATAATTTTGAGATGCAAGGTTTGAGGGGAAATATAGGAATCATTTTCACTGAAAGATATTTATAAATTTTACAAACAAAAAGAGAGAATAGTGCAAGACTAGAGAATCATTTTCCATGAGATGATGGTCTTGGCAACAGATGCACATTATGGATGAACAATCCACAGTTTAATATATTTGTTTGACATATGGGTCATATGCAAATGGTACTTTCTTACTATAAGTAACATTTAAGGGGCTCTCGATGATCAAAGAAGAGAAATAGAGGGAGATTTGTGTTTCTGGAGTTTTACTTTTACCATCAATTCAATTACAACGATTAGATTGGTTTTATTAGCAAATCGTCTGATCTTTCATGAGGTTTACGATTACGTCTAGCCTGTCTCGATCGGGATTGGTTAGTTTTTGAAATGCATAATTGAATGTTTGTTTTGTTGTTGTAATCTTTTAATTTTTTGTCAATTATCTTTCTATTAACTTCAATTTTCCATTCAAAGATTCACAAGCTCATCAACATAAGAAGCTTTGTGACATGCTGAAGCATCTATCAATTATCTGTAAATTTTTGCAGTTACTGGTCGAGTCACCACAAAGGCTGATGTGTTTAGCTTTGGAGTGATACTGATGGAGCTGATCACTGGTCGGAAAGCGCTCGATGAGAGCCAACCAGAGGAGTCTGTGCACTTGGTTACATGGTTCCGGAGGATGCAGCTCAACAAGGACACATTGCCCAAGGCCATAGACCCAATGATTGATCTCGACGAGGAGACCTTTGCAAGCATGAGCACTGTCGCAGAGCTTGCCGGTCACTGCTGCGCCAGAGAACTATACCGAAGGCCCGATATGGGTCATGCAGTCAATGTGCTGTCCTCGCTCGCCGAGCTGTGGAAGCCTTCTGATCCTGATTTAGAGGATAGCTACGGTATCGACCTCGATATGTCACTTCCTCAAGCACTGAAGAAATGGCAGGCATTCGATGACAGCAGCCACTTCGACGGAGCCACATCGTCTTTCCTCGCGAGCGTAGACAACACCCAGACCAGCATACCGACGAGACCGCCAGGCTTTGCAGATTCCTTTACCTCTGCTGATGGAAGATGAATTGAGAACGATGCAGTTCTCATCTGTGATTATTCATGTTTATGGTTTGGCTTTGCTTTTGCTTCCTGCTTTCCGTCCGTTTCTTTTGATTTGCCACTATCTGTAGTTGATTCTCTCAGACATTTCTCCGATCACTTCCTGTGCTAGTTCTGCATCAGAATTGCAACTTGCTAAATCACCTGCCTTATTTCTTCTATCAATCGCATATTGTCTACAAGAAACACCATTGTAGATGTTAACAGCTGCCTCTTAAGGATTCAGAGAATGAACAGGAAGACACGCGGCAGCGCACTCCACGGAAGATGCACTGCATCACGCGACGCTGCCGTGGTGGAGGCGGCGCGGAACGCGGAGGCAGGCCAAAAGGCAAAGGCATGAACGAGTAGTAACAGCGGCAAATAGGAAATAAGGCAAGCGAAGACTGCTGTAATCGTTAAAACTGTAGTCTGTAATTGCTTATCAAATGGCACCATTGTGATGCGTCAGTGCCTCCTCGTCTCCACGAAACTGCTTCCATCAATGTTTGAAGTCGGCGATAGGTAGCAGTTACCAACATGGTGGTCTTCTTCTTAATTATGTATAGCTTATCTATCACACTTCCGATCAGAATTGGTGGGATCATATTCGTGCGGAACCAATATAGTTTATCTTTTATTTAAATAAATTTGATTAGTTTAGAAATTCTTTTCCTACATTAAAAATTTATTCAACAAAGAAAAAAAATTAAAAAAGAATAAATCTTTGTTTTTGATTGAAATTATAAATCCTGAGTGAAATTTTATTTTTTATAAAAAGAAAAGTTTATAATATAAAAAAAAAGAGATTATTTTTTTAAAGTCAAATCAAAATTATTTTTTTAGATCAAAATATGAGTGACGTGAGACCACAAATTGATTTCGCGTGAGTGGTGCGAAACATAATCATCTTAAATGAGTTTGATTGTTATTTATTTATTATCTTTTTCTTCTACTTTTCTATCATCAAACAAACACTTTTGTGCTGCTCGTCCTGCATCAACTTTTGCTTCGGACATCATTTGCCATCATCAACTGCTCATATGTCGAAGAGAAGAACCACAGCCAGAGAGACGGGCATCAAAAGAAGTCTCACGAGTGTGTGACACTGGACCCAACTCATTCTCCATACTCGATGAATCGACAAAGAATGCACTACAGATGTAAGAACAGAGAGTACACTCTTGGCATGGCCGATGTGCCATGAAACGTGGACTAGGACGTACTGAAAACGTAGCGAACAGATGGGGCGGTGGGGGAATCCCAATTGAAAACGCCACCGCCCATGTGAAGTGATGATGGAGAAATAGGAGAGGATGGCCTCCTCACATCAATGCCTCTGTTCTATGTACGTTCTCTACTGGGTTTTGAGTTGGATGAGGAGCAAACCAGCTAAGCAAGGAGTGATGGCCAAGTCTCGTCGTCTAGGTTGGAAACAGATGTATGCATCGAGAAGCACTGCAAATTTCCATGTAATCTCTGTTGACGAGTTCCAGCATTCAAACACCGGCGTGCCACAAGTCTACCATCTTGCATGGATGGGCTGGATCTGTCAGTGGGTTCTTAGACGATTGTAAGTGTCTGCATAGACATTTTGACCATTTAAAGCAGACTATTTCATAGAAAAATAGCTTCTGGATGACATGAGTGTCGTGAAATAAATGGCTTCATCTCTCAGCTGAGCTTCCAGATGCTTGGGAGTTGACTAAGTCAGGTTCTGGGGAGATTGCAGACGAGCACAAATAGGGATAGATTTGGGGATCGGAAGCGCCATATATTTCTTAGTGAAGGAACTGAGATTTTCCTGCTCTCGACGAGATCCTTCTTCACGCACTTTTTGTAGTTCATTCTTCCAGAATTTGAACTTCGCATTCTCCATCTGAATTAGACTTGTAACGTATGGATTTCCACCACTGCAACAGGGAATTTTTCTTTAAATTATTATCTTAATATAAGAATTTTTTTTATGAGAACAGAACTGTGTTAATTGTTGAAGGTGATCTTAATTTGGCTCCGCTTTCTTTATACGAAAGAAAAAACCTTTCGTATGCCTCGGTGCGCAGTTGTTGTCTGCATACCACCTACGACTGTCTACAACGACGATAGTACTGATATTATCGACCGGCAACCTCTCCGGTCGTAGTGTGGTGTTGTGCCATCATGACCACGCGCGATTGTGTGCATGCACAACTCGCACGATTGTCACAACGCGATTGCTCTAGTCACCATAGTCGCCACAAGCACTAATACTACTACAGCTACTGTAAGGCCGTTGCACCTTATGGTACTTCATCGCTGCCCACCATTAGGCTAGTGACCATTAGAGGTTATCAGCCTCAACAATATTATCATCAATAATAAGTTATCAAATGTACTTCGATCAAACACAAAGAACCTCGCAATCGACCGCAAGCAATCGATAAGATGGACTAAACAAAAAAGTGATCGTTTAAGTATCGTAAATAAAAATCGAATAACATATTTTCGTAAGTGAAGAGTGCTAATAAATAGATCTAAGATATTTAATTTTTAAAAACATGACTTTGATACTAATTATAAGCATAAAAATCATGATTATGATATTATTATGTAAAAAAATTAATATCAAAAATTAAAATCAAATAACGATAGATCAGATTTACGATGCATACCTTTCGATATCATTTAAAAATTATTTATCTAAATTATAAGTGTACCATCATCGAATCCGAAAGCCACATCGATGTCGATATGTAAAGAGAATTAACTAGTCTTATTTTTTTTCTTCCGTTACAGGATCGTTATAAAAAATGGATTAGAGATTATGGGAGATTGAGAATATATGTAATCTCAATTATTGATGTAAGATAATAATTATAATTAAGAAAATTCCTCCGTTATAATTAAACTTTCTTTTTCTAACATCAGAATATCTGAATTATAATTGATACTAAACTCAGTTAGCCGGAGTCTCTCAAATCCTTCAATTCCACAAGTAAAATCACAGTTTTTGATTCTTTGCAACATGCCTCGCTGATACCAAAAGAAAGGTGTGATGATTTAAAAGCATGCATACATAAAGCATGAAGACTCCATTTCAAGTATTTCTGCATTAGTCCTTCTCAACAAAGTTTTCTCCGATACAGTCTGAAGCCACTGAGATCACCACTATATTAAATTATAATTCTTGAGTTGAGGTCAGTCTTCTCGTCTTTAAATCTTGGAAAGTTAGTCTTAGAAGTATCACCGGCACCATTTTGTAGGAGCGTTTGCGATCTCATCAAGCCAATAGATGCCCTAGTCAAGCTGTCAAATCTTATATCCTCTTCTTCTACTTAGAATTCAAGAGTTCTAGATGAAACGTTTATCTGCCGAAAGAAACTTGACTGTGACAGGTAGCCGCTGTCCCTGCTTGCTATGTTCTTCAAATTCAACTAGAGAACTCAAATCTGCAATCAAGTCAGAACAATCACATGTTTCTCTTTCTTTTTTAAGCTAGTGCAAAGAAAAGGAAGAACAAGTTTCATATCATTCTGCAAGTAAGTTCCAAGCATGCCTGAACTCATCTCTGATTCTCTTACCCCGCGAACGATTCAGAGTTCTGGATGGAACAGTTATCTGCAGAAGAAATCTGATTGTGACGTACAGCTGCTGTCACTGCTTGATTGTGACATCTTATATGTCAAATCAGCTATTATATATGCTGCAAATCATATCACAACACACTGCAAATAAGCTCCAAGGAATTCCTAACTCATTTCTGATTCTTCTATCTCTTGCATGCAATTCAGTGTACCAGATGAAATAGTTACCTGTGGAAGAAATTTGACTGCGACATATAGCTCCTGTCGCTGCTTTCTATGCTCTACAAGTTCAACTACAGAACTCGAATCTGCAATTATAATCAGATTACTTATTTTCCTATGAGAACAAGTTTCATATCATTCTGCAAGAAAGCTCCAAAGATGCCTAAAGTAAAGTCATTTCTGATTCTCTTTATCACACTTGCTACATCATCCAATTACTCAATTTCCTTTTCCCTCATTTCTGATTCCTCTGTACACATTCTGTTATCATTAGCTTCAAGTTCAAACTCCTGTAGAACATAAAACTTTTGGATTTGGGAATTTACATCACATACAAATCGTACAGAACCGAACCTGCCGGTTTTGCAGTGTTGAAGTGGTTGGTACAATTGCAATGCCCATCAAAAGTTTGGTCTCAGTTAACGAAAGAGACCATTTGATATTGATCCATCTTTTCTTATTGCCTACTTTTGACCTGTAAAAAGAGTACCGTTACCTGTAACTTTGGTTGAATTAAACAGCAAGGTTGTGACCGAGAACCATTTGATATAGTACACATATTGACTGCTTACTAATCAACAAAGCTCACTGAAAGAAAGATAAAGCCTTCTAGTGGACCAGAGGTTGTAGTTGGACGGTTTTCCATCCTTATTTTGATATCCAATTGGGTAGAACGGCGAGACAAGAAATATTCTTAACTCATTATAAAATATTATATTAAACACGGTAATCAATGTCTATTTGTTAAAATTACTCTACCTTGTCCGTTACTCAGGATCATGTTGAGAAGCTCATCCGACCTTGGTTTTCATGTAATTGGCTATGGAACGCGCAGCCAAGTCCATCTTAGCTCAGTCGTGGGTGAGTGTTCGAGCTATCGTACCGATCATTTTAGACTTCTTGTGCACAGAGGTAAGTCTGAATTGAGTCGAATTGATCCGGCCATCATTGACATTTTCCCTATCAGTATCTCAAGTTACATAAGTCAAACAGTAATCAAGACAAAGCAAAAAAGTGAAAATTTGGTTTGCTTTGGTTCAACAGTACCTTCCTCTGTTTCATCATCATCATCATCATCTTCTTCTTCTTCTTGTGGTCCTTCATCATTTTTGACCACCAAGTAAAGAAGCGCAAAGAGCCAAAAACTTTTCTCACTTGGAACGGCAGATGAAGCATTACTCGGAACTGAAAACCTAAGACTTATGACAGATATCAGCAGCAGATGTTGAAGGAAGCCAGTCAATGTAATGCGGCCAAAACTTAGGCAACTGTTGTCACCGCAGGATTCTCCGATTTGCGTTGAAGAAGCTGAAACAAAAGGTTGAGCTACGTTGTTTTTACAGCTATCTTTTACGCCACCTTTTTCTTTTTGTTACTGCAGCTTAATCAAGCTGGCGAGAAGCTTGATCGAGCCGGTGGTCAATCGAGTCGCACTCTCCCATTTAGTTTATTGTCTCGTTCAATCCATCAGGTAATTGCACAAATTTGGCCGCTCTCTCTCTCTCTCTCTCTCTCTCTCTCTCTCTCTCTCTCTCTATCTCACCGTTTCCTCTCCGCGGGTTAAACATTCAAACTTCAACGGTCAACGTTCAAAGACAACGCTTTGCGCTTTGAACAATTCGCTCCTTCGTCTTAGCGAGATGGATTTATATAGACTCATCCATTGCCTTCCCTTCCTTCGACCTCTTCCATTGCGAATCTTTCAGCCTCGCACAAAATCCAATACACCAAGTTGTGTTCATGGCCTTGCCATGGAGAAGCCGTAAATCAGGCCAGAAGACCAAGCCAGAAAAGAGCGTTTCTCGCACGGAGATCTCGATCCCGATGCACTTCTTGTGCCCGATATCGTTGGAGCTGATGAAGGACCCGGTGACGGCGTCCACGGGGATCACCTACGACCGGCAGAGCATCGAGACGTGGCTGGGGCTGGGGAACACGACGTGCCCGGTCACGAACCGGGAGATGGAGAACGAGGAGCTCATCCCGAACCATTCGATCCGGAAGGTGATACAGGATTGGTGCGTCGCCAACCGGTCCCTGGGAGTCGAGAGGATCCCCACACCTAAGATTCCCGTGACCGGATCCCAGGTGGCGGACATGATGTCGGAGATCGGTGAGGCCACCCGGCGTGGCGACCGTGCTCGGTGCGATCAGTTGGTGGTGAAGGTCAAGAACTTGGCGAGCGAAAGCGAGCGGAACAGAAGGTGCTTCGCGTCGAATGGCATGAACGGAGTTCTGGCCGCCACCTTTAACGCATTTGCCGGTGCATCTTCCGAGTCGCCGGCGGCTGAGATTTTGGAGGAAGCCTTGGAGGCATTGGCGACGCTGTTACCGCTGGGCGAGGAAGCTGCTTCCCGCATCGGATCGCCCGAGTCCCTGAATCGCCTCGTGTCGATCTTGCAGCATGGAAGCTGGGCTGCAAGGCTCAATGCGGCTTTGGTGGTGAAGGAGCTTCTTGCATCCAACGGAGCGGGAGCAGATGTCATCGCCGGGACCAAGGGGCTGGTGGAGGCGTTGGCCAAGCTCGTCGAAGAGCCCATATCCCCTCGGGCAGCGAAGGCTTCTCTCGTCTCCATCTTCTATATGATTAACCGCGACGAGAGGGCCGCGTCAAGAGTAGTCGATCTGGGGCTGGTGCCTGTGCTCATAGAGGTCCTTGTCGGCCCCGAGAAGAGCATGTGCGAGAAAGCACTGGCCGTGCTCGACGTGCTGCTGGGCTGCGGGAGCGGCAGGGAGAAGGCCTACGGCCACGCGCTCACGATGCCGGTGCTGGCGAAGAAGATGTTCCGCGTGTCGGACATGGCCACGGAGTTGGTCGTCTCGGCGCTGTGGAAGCTCTGCAGGGACGACGAAGTGGGGGGAGAAGGGAGAGGGAGATGCTTGCAGGATGCCCTACAAGCCGGGGCCTTTCAGAAACTCCTACTTCTACTGCAGGTTGGGTGCGGTGAGGCGACCAAAGAGAGAGCTACCAATCTTCTCAAACTATTGAATGGTTGCAGGGGAAGGGAAGAATGTGTCGACACCATGGATTTCAAGGGACTTAGAAAGCCTTTTTGAGTACCAAATGGTCGATAGGTATAGAGGAAAGATCATAACAAAGAGAGCTTTTCTCGTCGTACTTTGTTTCGGTCGGGGGTGTGATTCAGATATATGTACAAAAACACAGAAGAGTGCTCCTGGTTTGAGGTACACATACCACCTGTTACATGTCAAGAAAAGAGAAGAGTGTTTGGTTGTCTTGCTTCTTTTCTTCTGTGCTTGCAAATTCTAGCTGAGATTTCAATAGCGTCTGCATATGTTTGATAGCAATCCCAGTACATACAACTCAATTATTTTGGTTCTTCTCTCATATACAGATAGATATATGCTCAGCTTAACATTCACCATATGAGACAGAAGAACATTCATCATGATGAGAACCATAGAGGTCAAACTTAATTAAGCATTCAAAATTATCTTAATACCCAAGCTCATGACACGCATTGCATTATCTTCATCGTCACTTCACCATTGTACTCCTAAGAAAGTGGATCCAAAAGGTTTGTAGATGAGAAGCCTTCTACACTCACAACTCACGCTTCTCATCCATCCAAAACCAACAAGGGATCGGACAACGACATGTCCGTGATAAATGCCCTCCGACCAGTATTCCACGTTGATCATGGACTCTCTCTCACTCTCTCTCTCTTCCCTTTTTCCATGCGTGCGAGTTGGACTTGACCACATTTTAAATCAACCCGCGGTCGTCGCTACTGATTTGAACAGACCGGTGGAAAAATTGCTGGTGATCGATAATAACGAGCCAGCATCATGTGGTGTGTTGATGGCGGAACTCTGAGGCCACGCATGGCTGAGATTTGATACTTCTCTTGAAGGTCTTCGATGTCAAATCTGTCCTCGCCTAGTCATGTCCTCCCCTCCCATAGCCCATAGCCCATTGATTGTAAGAGTAATATCAGCTCCAAGTGTTTGCCCTTGGAACCAGTCTGCAGACATCTGATGGCGATGCAAGCACCAGCAGCCAAACATCTCCATCAGAGCGGGAAAAAGAGGAGCAGGAATCAAGATTCAATACGATCGACAGAAGAGTGAAAAGAGACATTGGCACCAAAATGGAACGTACCTTATTTGCCAATCATCATCGGCCATCTGCAGATAATTCAACAACCTTGTGCAGTCAGATGTTTGTTCATGGATGGCCTGCACAAGCTATGAGTTGATGTGCCCATTGGCCCAGTAACTTGAGCAGAATGAACCCCAAACATTATCATAACATCAACCACCGTTAATGCAAGACTGCTTAGGCGACAACAATAGCTCCAAGAGACGCCATAAAATTTTTTGGAGGAATACGGAGTAAAATAGCAATAATAATTAGAAGAAAAATCCATTGTGTATTGTCTTTTTGGGAAACAAGGATGCCAGAAGACTATAACTTGCAACACATCTTTTGAACAATAATATACAAATCAAAGACAGAAGACTTAAATATTTCTTGCTACTTCACATGCTAGAACCAGAAGCAACTACTCAAATTTTGCCAGCACCTTTATATGCCTGCACATATCAGATTAAACTAACATGGTATTTAACAGGGTCCATGATATATCTGGTGTTTGCATGTCAGCCAATATGGTCAGATAACATACTAGGGTTGCCCCACACAAATGAACAATTTGGGCCCCTCATGCATCCATGTCATTCCACATAAGAACCACTGTCCAAAATGGTATGCTCTAGTTTGCAAATATTAAAATGACCAAGTTTTGGACTATCAATAATTTAGATGCAACAACGTAAAAGATTCCAAACCAGAACAACACATAAGCATGATTAATGTATACCCAAAAGCTTAAAATCCCCAAGCAGCATAGAAATTTAAGAACAAAGAGGCTCAATTTGTCTGCTACAGGCAATAACTTACCTAATAGTTTCTATTGATTTTTCAGATGCTCCTCAACTCCTTGCAATTCCTTGATCTTTTTGTGATATTTGCAAATGTGGTTAATGCACCTGACACCCAATGGAAGCAAAATTATCCGTCATATCGAACTCATAAAGCTGTATGTGCACCACCAAGCGGAACACTTGTATGGCTTGGAAGAAATGCCACCATGATATCAGAATAATATTAACAACACGTTACAGGATAAACAAAACATGTGAAATTTACCATTAATTATTAGAAATATATCATTCATTTTGAAAAATTACGCCCAGATTCTTGACATATATCTATCATGTTAGCATCCATTTAGAATATTCAAGTTAACTGTTTCACTAACATCAGTTAGTTTTAAGCAAGGTAGGCAATACCGAATAATACCGCTCGGTATGGGCGGTACGTACCGGTCCAACGGTATACCGGTACGCAGACCGTTCGTTACCGGACGGAACGAATAATAATAATAAAATAAAATTATATATATATATATATATATATATATAAACGAGACGACGTCGCCCCACGTGGGGAAGGAAAAGGTGACGTCGCCGAGGCGATGCGACGTCGACTTATATATATATATATATATACCGTACCGTACCGTACCGTACCGAGCGAACGTTGAAACGCCGGTACGGTATGATATTTCGAACCTTGATTTTAAGTTCTAAAGAATAATATAAAGCATTAAGTTACCTAAAATGCTCTTGACATATTATAATGAGTTTTTAAAGGGTAACTTTCATCAACAGTAATTCCAATTAACAGTCAATTGACATAAATTAGCTATAACCGCATACACATCACTTTCAAATTTTGCAGAAATATGTATATATACTAAACTGAAATTTAGTAAAACAAATATGAAAATATGCAATTTAAATTTTTTTTTCCCCTTATTTTGTCTCCACTAACAGGAGCACAAATAGGTGTATTCGAGTGACACATACCTCATTGCTTGCAGAGTTGATCATGTTACACGAGTCATTTGCTCACCAGCCATTATGCCATGAATACACCACTCTAAACAAGCTTCTTATGTAAAATGGCCTTCTATCTGCATAGAGTTTACCAAGTCTTCCTCAAATAGAGCTAAGTTACAAGTACTCCTAAAGGGGGGGGAGTGATATAAATACCACAAACTCAGCAAGCAACGAAATGTTTTTGTACTTCCAAGCAAGGTAAAGAAGCAACTAGTAGAATACATAATGCATCATGTTTAGGAGTTCAAGAATCTACCGAAAAATAAGATAAAGGTCATAAAACTATCCAAGAACTTGATAAAGCATGATTGGTGATAGGGAGTACGCCGTCAGCCAATAGTTATCTGATACACAACCGTCAAGTGGTGTCTAGGATGAAAAGAGAAGACAAAGCCACCCTCCACCCATCTGCCCACATGAGCAAGGATCCAAGATAGACAATTACGGGTTATCTCCCTTTGTTACTTACATGAACAAGATACCAAAGAAAGACTGTTGAAGATAGTTAGAGAGTACCTTCCCGTAAAATATTTTATGAAATATCCTAACCCTTTTCAATCGATATAAAAGTTTATTTTAAACATAATGAGAGAAGGCCTTACTTTGACTATCGACGTCCGCACTAGTACCAAAATCTCTTCCAACCTCGGTCTTCAATTGACACCTCGGGAGCTTAAGGTTTTTATCTCGGAGGATATCACTGCCGACTGCCCAGGTCCAGACTGTAAATGATACCTTCCCTCATCAATTGAGAGCAACGGAAATCACACTTGCCACATGTGATCGATGATATCTTCGAATTGGGAACCTAAATCATCCCCATGCTGCTCCTCGAAACCGCCTTTTTGCACTCCTGAAACTGCGAACAAATTCAACCAAGAAAGCAACAGGAGGTCGAATCTTTCCACGCCATTCGAACCGTAGCTACGACGTACTTGAACTACGGCGATGTCAGAGGACGAAAGAGACCGCGGGCTAGGGTTTCATCTCGGAGGCAGGCTTCCCACCAAAGATTAGGCGAGATATAGGACAAGAGAGAAGAGAGGATGACGGCGGCGTACCGAGAAAGGCTCGTGTGGCTTCTCCGGTGCGAAATCGTCGTACATCACGAACACTGTATCGGGTGGGGGACGGTGACGAGGGGAAGCGCAAAACCATCGGTGGACCAATAGGTTTCACGGGCTAAGGATCCATTTGTTATTGGGCGTTACTAATGGCCCATTATATATAAATTGGGGTTAATTAAGACCCGGGCTAAGGATCCATTTGTACTGAGCTTACTGTTGCTGTCAATTTAATATAGTCAATTCCAAATAATTACAACTTGCTGTTGTTGCCGTACTCGAACGATTGAGACTTCGTGTCTGAATATAAATAAAAATATAAAACAAGGCTGTTGATCACGTGATCTCCTCAAGAAATAATAATGTAATAACGTGGAATCGGAACTCCGTCAAAACCCATCCAAACGCCATTCGAATCCATTGCTCCACCAAATGATTCAGCAAACCGTTATTTCATTGGGGTTGCACCAACTTTGCTGTCGACCAATCGACAGCTGATCGTTCCACATACCGCGAGACAAGTTAGTCCGCCTTTGAACGATCACAAGGCGGCGGAGAATTCCCTTTCCGAGACGTCATCCAATCGAAATGGAAGGAGGACCGACGAAGGGGCCTTCCAGTTGCCGCGACGCCCGGTGAATCTTACCGGCCTCCTGCGATTTTGTCAAAGCCGTCGAATCCGACGGTGGAGTATGCAATGGTCGGTAAGGTAATCTCACGGGGGTGACTTGACTCCCGTTCGTTCGTTCGTTCATGGTGAGTCAGCCGTCGAGTCAACGGTCCAACCGCCGTTCGTTCTCCATTCGATTATAATACCATGCCCAAGAGAGCAACCCCATCTCGAGCCCTGAAACCATGGTTCCTCTGCTAGCAGTATTCTCCCTTGTGCTGCTTGTCATCAGCAACCACTCACCGGCGACAGCCGAACGACTCAGCTCCTTCTCCGCCGCCGACTCTCCATGGTTTCCCTCCCAGGACCGCATCCTGGTCTCCCAAAACCAAACCTTTGCAGCCGGCTTCCTCAGTCCCCCCTCTTCCTCCGGCCGGTTCATCTTCGCCGTCTGGGTCCAGAAGTCGATCGATCGGACCATCGTTTGGTCCCTCGGCGGCGACATCGTCAACTCGTCTGCTCTGGCCATCTCGTCCCTCGGTGTCCTTTCCCTTAACGACTCCTCCGGCCGTAACCTCTGGCCAGCCGCCGGTGGAGCCTCTAATTCTTCCCAACTGGTCGTCCATGACGATGGCAGCCTGGTCCTCGGCAATTGGAGTTCCTTTGACTTCCCGACCGATACCATCCTCGCCAACCAGATGGCGCCTTCGAACGGGAATGGGACGACGCTGAGGTCGGGGAACTTCCAGCTTGTTGGTGCCAAGTCCCTCGTGTTTAACGGCACCGATAACTACTGGAACGCGTCGGACATCATCCTCAACCTCACATCGGACGGGCAACTGGTCATGGAAAACGGCAAAGGAGTTATTGCAGCCGACAAAGGGAAAATCGTTCTCCGGAGGCTCACGCTCGACCCTGACGGCAATTTTAGGATCTACAGTCTTGATGCAAGCTCGGGAAGGTGGCAGGTGGTCTGGCAAGCGGTGCTGGAGCTCTGCACCATCCATGGCACTTGCGGCACCAACGAGATCTGCATGCCCGACGGCTTCAACGCCACCAAGTGTGTGTGCCCACCAGGCTACCAAAACAGCACACGCAGCAATTCCTGCGAACGGAAGATAAAGCTCTTGTCTCCCAGCAAATTCCTGAGGCTGGACTTCGTGAGCTTCTACCAGGGATCGAACACTGCAGATCTGACGCCGCGTAATCTCGACGACTGCAGATCGACATGCGCGAACAACGGCAGCTGCATCGGCTTCAGCTACAAGTTCGACGGCCGGCAGACCTGCATCAACCATTTCAATCGATTCGCCAACGGGTATTGGTCTCCAGGGAGTGAGATGTCAACGTTCCTTCGGGTGGCAAGGTCCGAAACAGATCAATCCAACTTCACGGTGATGACCTCCTCGATCGACACGGTGTGCCCTGTTCAGATCAGTCTCCCCTTACCGCCTAAAGAGTCGAAGACCACCCTCAGAAACGCGGCCATCATCAGCACCCTGTTCGCGCTGGAGCTCCTGGCCGGAGTCCTATCGTTCTGGGCATTCCTCCGGAAGTATTCCAAGTACAGAGACATGGCCCATACACTGGGGTTGGAGTACATGCCCGGCGGAGGGCCAAAGCGCTTCTCTTACGCAGAACTGAAGGCCGCAACAAATGACTTCTCGAACGTGGTCGGCCATGGCGGATACGGTGTGGTCTACAAGGGGGAACTCCCTGATCGCCGCGTCATCGCCGTCAAACGCCTCAAGAACATCGGCGGCGCGGAAGCAGAATTTTGGGCCGAGGTGACGATCATCGCCAGGATGCATCATCTGAACCTGGTCCGGCTGTGGGGCTTCTGTGCCGAAAAGGAGCAGCGAATGCTCGTCTACGAGTACATTCCCAATGGCTCCCTCGACAAGTACCTCTTCTCCCCATCCACCGGAGTCGACGAAGGCTCGGGCGAGGACAAGATTGACGACCCAAGGAGAGAGTTAGTTCCTCCAAGACCTCTGCTCGATTGGAACATCAGATACAGGATCGCCATGGGGGTCGCTCGCGCCATAGCGTACCTCCACGAGGAGTGCCTCGAGTGGGTACTGCACTGCGACATCAAACCGGAGAACATACTGCTCGAGGACGATTTCTGCCCAAAAGTGTCAGATTTCGGCCTGTCGAAGCTGACGAACAAGAAGGACAAGGTGACCATGTCGCGAATCAGGGGGACGCGAGGCTACCTGGCGCCGGAGTGGGTGATTCAACGGGAGCCGATCACCGCAAAGGCCGACGTCTACAGCTTCGGCGTGGTGCTTCTGGAGATCGTGAGTGGGGTCAGGAGCTCAGAGTTCCAGCGGTCGTCGCTGGAGAGCGAAGACTGGTACATGCCCAAGTGGGCGTTCGAGAAGGTGTATGTGGAGCAGAGGATCGAGGACATCCTCGATCGCCACATCATGGATTCCTATGACAACCGCGCCCACTTCGAGCTGGTGGATCGAATGCTTAAGACAGCCATGTGGTGCTTACAGGACCGAGCGGAGATGAGGCCGTCGATGGGGAAGGTGACCAAGATGCTTGAGGGCACCGTGGAGATCACAGAGCCTGGGAAGCCCACCATCTTCACATGCTAATCACTGCGCAGAGTATTATACTACTTGGAAAGCAAGGCTGTTTGTGTGCATGTCTACGCACGTATTTCAATAAGCAGACACTGAAAATTTTATGTTGAGATTTAAATTCTAATTTCATCTTAGTTTCTTCTTGTTTTTATAGTTTTAGGTCTATTTGAGAAAAGATTAATTGTATGCCCTCCTCTCGCTCATATCGTGTGGATCCTCAAGTCAACACCCAAATTGACATCATGTCACCAAAAAGTTTGGTCTTCAAGCACTAAAACTCATCAGAGTTCTTCAGAAAATAAAAGGTCGCTGCCAAAAGGAGTAGTATTTCGTCTAGAATTAATGGTAAGAAACAGCGAAAAGGACTACCAGGAGTTCTTGAGTGGCTTCTGCAGCAGGGCGGAGATGTACATCTCCCGCAGCTCGAGGCCCCTGTCCAGCTTCCTGCCCACCTCCCACCGGAGCTTCTTGAAGCCGACGCGGTCGATGACGGGCACATACTCGCCCATCTGAGGCTCCACGAAGAAGAAGTGGTCGAGCCAGAAGAGGCCGCCGGGGCGCAGCACCCGGTAGATGTCGAAGAGGATGAAGTGGAGCAGGGTGGTGGGGATCCAGTTGCTGAGCACGTGCATGGAGTGCACCAGGTCGAGGGTGTTGTCGAAGAAGGGCAGCCGCTGCGAGACGCTCAGGTAGAGCGGCACCACCCCGCGGGCGGCCATGAAGCTGCTGAAGGGCCCGTTGAGGTTCATGGTGGTGGAGACGATGGTGACGTTGCGTTCCCGCATGCGGACGGCGAAGGTTCCGGAGCCGCCGCCGATGTCGAGGCCGATGCGCACTGAGCCGACGGGGTCGGCCGCCTGGAGGACCTCGTCGATGGAGAAGTCGAGGGGGTTGTCGGAGGGGGCCACCCAGCGGAGCCGCTCGCGGCTGCCGTCGAGGATGTCGAAGCAGTCCTTGCAGTCGTCGAAGGAGGGGGAGCGCTTGCGGTCCACGAGGCAGCGGAAGGACTTGCAGGAGTAGGCGGACCAGTGGATGGAGCGGTCCGGGGGGAGCGACCAGAGGGCGGCCGGGTGGGGGAGGGGCGAGGCGGGGTCCGGTGGCGCGGCGGGACGGCAGCGGCGCCGTGGGAGGGGCTCGCAGCCTCGGAGGAGGAGGCGCTGGGCCAGGGGCTCGTCGTCAGGGCAGGAGCCGTTGACGGGGTAGGACATGAAGGCGGCGAGATCGTCGGGGAAGAGAGGGCAGGCCAGCCCCGCGGGAGGGTGGATCTCCGCGGAGTCCATGTTGGGGTTGTGGCCGAAGGGAAGGGGCTGCGCGGAGGTGAAGGCCACGAACTCTGCCGGCAGAGAAGCATCGGCATTACTGGAGGAAGCAGAAGAAGAAGCAGATGCTGCAGTCGTAGCACATGCAGCAACAGTAGTAGTAGTAGAAGAAGGACAAGGAGGGCATGAAGAAGAGGAAGAGGAGAAGAGAAGGAAAGTGAGGAGGTTGGAGAAGAGGAGGACAAAGAGGCAGAGAAGGTTGCTGAAGCGGTGGTGGGAACGGGAGGAGTCCATTGAAGAGGAAGGAGAACGGAGGTGGCAAGGGAACCTTCTCTCTTAGTCTGTGCTCGATTAATATCTTCTGCAGCAGCAGGGTCTACTACTCACGAAAAAGAGAAGTAGAGTCCGAGTAAAAAAGTCAAGATCTACTACTCACAAAGAGGAGGCTTGCATTAGTTTGAGAAGCTTACAGTCTTAAAAAGAGAGATGGATTCGACGTGAGGACGACGTTGAAGAATAGCACTAGTTTTATATGAATAGTGTGGCGTGCAAACTAAGAAAATACAAATAATAAGAAGAAGAAGAATAGAAATGACGCCAGCAGAGACAAACTACATCCCTCCAACTACAGTCCCACTCCACCGTCACAATACCTTTCAAATAAAAAAGGGCATGACGCCTATCCACATAAAGAGTCTGTGCTCCAATAACACGTTGTTGTTTCCTATTCACATGACACCTACAGGGCTTCACTCTTTTGAGTTCAATGACACTATCTGAACTATGCTCGAGCATCATGAGTTGGCCAAAGCTTCCAATTAGACAATAGAAAATCAATCCTTGAACATACTCTAACTTGAGAAACACTAGCTGTAAACACATGAAGGAAGCATAAAACAAATCTAAGAACAACCAATTAGAGAGTGTAGCACACAAATCTGGAATTACATTCTATTCACATCCTTGGAAAAGAAGAGATAAAAACAAGATATTAAAAAGAACACACTACTGAGGCGACTCGCAAGGTGCTGAATAGCAAGGACACACCAGGCTATACAAACAAATAAGACACTGGCCTACCAAAATACAGGTCGTGGAGTTAGCAATCCAAAGCATCACTTCCAGTAGCCAACTGCCCTCGAAGTCAGCTGCAGACGGACCTCATTCGCCAGATGAGCTCCCTAACAAAGTGTTGCAAGGTCGTCCGTCTGGTGTTAATTCCAGTTTAAAAGATCAACCCTGGAAATACAAAAAAGGAAGAGGCGGGGGGG